TCGATGGCACCTGACAACAACAACAACAACAAGAGTAGGAACTAACTCCACAGCACTTTAACAACAATAATGACAAAATTAGCATGCCATTCTCAGGACAGGAATTTATGCTCAATTACATTCAAACTTACAGTCAAATTAAAAGGGACAACAGATAACAAGGGGCATAAGAAATGAGAAGTTTATAAAGAAATAGAATTAAAAGACAATGGTCAATCTTTCTTACAATGGTCACTCTTAAAAAGAAAAGATCCCTTTATGAAGTTCACATAGTAAGATACATGAACTATTATTAGACAGTCTCAGAGGCTCCTATAAAAACTAGTTGTAAATCACTGCCCAATACCATTTATTCTAGAAATCCTTGAACTCCAGAGTATACACTGTTTTCATTTTCAAATTACATCCAATGTGCTGGCACACAGTGGTTTAGAGTTTAATAAATGTTTGCTGGATAGAACACACACTTTTTGTGTCTATCCAAGCCTTCAGTTTAAGACAGTAATTTCAAAAGGGTATGTATGAAGCAAAAGGAGCTCTGGTAGTGTAGAGGTTACGAATTGGGTTGCTAACCTCAAGGCCAGCAGTTCGAAACTACCAGCTGTTCTGCAGGAGAAAGATGACGCTTTCTGCTCCCGTAAAGATTCGCAGCCTTGGAAACCTTGTGCAGGGTACTTAACAAAAACAACAACATGTATGAAGCGAGGGGTGGTACATAAAGGAAAGACACAAATGAGAAGACATCTTCAGAAAAATCAGAGTAAACTTTGGGTGGGAGGATAGCATGATTTCAGGGGCTACCACCTAAATCTACAGCAATCTGTTAGTGATGATTTCTCTTCCATGGCTTCCAAAGAATCAATTTCAACTAAGTAAAACATATAAAGTAAGTATACTGTCACTGGTAGCGTAGTGGTTACGAATCGGGTGGCTAACCTCAAAGTCAGCAGTTCGAAACTACCAGACATTCCGTGGGAGAAAGAAGAGGCTTTCTGCTCCCATAAAGATTTGCAGCCTCGGAAACCCTGCGCTGGTTCACTATGAGTTGAAACTGACTCCATGGTACTTAACAACAACAACAA